GATAGCAGTGTAACGGTAGATGCTACTGAGGAAGCACACGAGGAGCATGTGGTTTTATCATAATTCCGTGCGTCGTAGATTGAAACGTGGGATTTATTACGGAATTTGTGGAATCTCTTTGTAGCATTCGTTTAGGATTGAGTGAGCGTCTATGAATTTTCAGGAACTTTTGGGTAGAAACGTTCGAGAAGATGATAGATGCACAGTTTTTATAAACGAGGCGCATATGATAGTTCTGCTTCCCCGTCCAATAGGCTGTAACTGTTCAGTCAGTGTTTCTCAATAAAAAAATCTGCAGCAGAGGGCCTCTTCCTTCTACCAGTAGGCGTGTTTCTCAAAAAATCTGCAGCAGAGGGCCTCTTCCTTCTACCAGTAGGCAAAATGGGACCGCGGATACCCGTGAAACTGATGATGACCGACCAGTCAGCTGATGGAAGAGTCTCACATGTATTCGTCCTTTGCCCATACCTGCTCTTCTATTTCTGGCGGGAAGCATTCTCGGCATTGCAGTAGTACATGTTGGCTTCAACTACAGTCGTTGTTCATCAGTGTTGAACACGTTTGGTCTGAAGCGTTTGATTGAGTAGATTACCGTAAATTTTGGGCCAGCCTTCCGTTTAAATATATAGCCAATTTGAGTTTACGGGAATATGTCCACGATATAGCCACTGACTTTGTGGTCAGCTAATGGCCTGTTTTTGTCGGCGGTAACACCAGTCAGGATACCTTTCCAAATACGAGTGACAATCATACGACAACACAGTGGGATAAAACGAATGAATTCCGGACATTAATCACAATAGAGCATGAGACCAAAATAAGATACTGTCATTCAGTGTGCACTCTGTGGGACATTGCAAAGTTTCATACACAAGATATCCAACCGGTAATCGTGTAAATTAAGCCTGCGCTTGTGTGTTCTAAGAGCGAATTCTCAGAGAACCTGATACCTTTAATTTCAGCTTAATTGCTCCTTTAATTGTCTGTCATGTATCCTTTTATTGGCGGACTTTTCGTTTTCATTATTGCTATTATCGTTTTATTTTAATTATTTTATTATCTATGTATCACAGAGCTAGGTATATTTTATTATGTTCATACAAACTGCACGGGTCGGAACCAGAAATTCACAAATGGGTCTATGTGCATAAGGTTACAATTTTTCACTTAAATAACAAGTCGAATCTTGAAAAACCAATCGATTGTATTTCCCGGTGAATCAAAACACACCATTCAGAAGAGATTGATCACAGGAAAATGAGTCTTCGGTTTACAAATTGTTGTGTTGCCAGTTTGCATCAACATTAACCTCGTCATCTGATTCTACTCTATGGGCGAAATAAAACATTAGTTTGAGGCGTGTTTCCTCGTGAGAAGAATACTGTCATTCAAATGTGTGTTATGCTATGCAAACATACGAGAGGAATAAATGGGTTGATCTGATTGGAGTAACAAGAAAAGCAAGTTGTCGGTAGGCATGAATGATGGAATTTTATATCTGGTCCGCTACAAAACTAATACATTCACACTGACCTCTCCTTTTCGGATCTACGAAATCCAACCTCACTATATGACAATCCACACCAAAGACGTTGGGGTATCTGGATGATGACAACGCCTGATCCATTGCAGAATCCACACAAACGACCGACTGCTATCAATGGCCAATATCACTCATTGATCCAACGGGCAAGGCTGTTGACAAGAGTAATGCGATGTTTAGGTGAACGTGGATGGCGGGGAGCGGGACTTCTCATTTCAGAATGTCACAAGTTTCGTTATTGCTAGGTTTAATTGAAGCCGTGGTTTGTTGAGAACTGGTTTGAGAAAATGCTTTTCAGATGCGGACAGAGAAGACCACCTGAATGTTTGTCCCGGCCAAGGATTTAACCGCGTCCAATGCAAACATTGTAATTTTTCATCATGGGTTTATACACCAACGCTCAATTATTTTCGTCTTCATGCAAAAACAGGAAGTAATTTCGTCAAAAATAAACCTTATTGTTTTAACATACTTTACACTGTTTTCAGCTGCAGGTATAATAGTACGCAGATCGAGAGTACTATTAGAATTTTGAATAAAACTCCGAAAGTAACTGAACACATCAAATAGGAATGTTTATCGTGAGGAATCTAGGGTGAACGTTGTGGGTGCACACAAACGCATGCCTCAACCGTTTGACATTGATGCAAGGTTGCCTCACATTGCTGTTCAGTTTCACTCCCTACCTATGCAGTTTGGTTCACCTCTGGTTTCAAACAATTTGATCTGTTTTTACGGGAGCAAAAGTATTGATCGTTCGACTACCTCAGATCCCGAGTGTTACCAATACAAAGTACTACACTGTATAGTGGTCTTTAAGACACAAATACCTTGGGTTATTGCGAGTAATGGTGAGTAATGGTGTCCGCCACAACATAAATCATGGTCTTGGATGACCGAGGATCTTTTTAATAACTCTGAAAACGCGTGAAACTTGTATCGCTTCTTGGCGTTTGAAGATGGTACCGAGTTGCCGGTAGTGCAGCCATCGAATTGGGCTGATTCTAAGGGGTTCAGACCGGGAATTCATTTGCCTCATCCAGAACAGGTCACGTCTGATTAGGACACTGTTTGCGTATCAGCTTACGATATTGTTTTCATCAGATTTTTTTAATGATTTTGGACATTCTGAGTAGCAGCCACAAAACTCACATTTAATTCTCCACCAAATCTCTGCGGAAATGAATAGAAATTTGAAACCCTACAAATTGTGTTGATTTTACGATTATGATGCATACATGCTTCTATTTTCTCTAGGTATATTTTTTTCGTTGGAGAACTTACAATCACCAAGTCGAGTCTTTTCGGGTTTGCGATGTCCTCAGCAGCTACGCGAGTAAGCTAAACAAAATAATTGACACGAAAAATTTGGGCAGTGAATTTTGATTGTTCGACTGAGCAGCAGAAACAATTTTCCATCATTGCTGTTCAGTTTCACTCCCTACCTATGCAGTTTGGTTCACCTCTGGTTTCAAACAATTTGATCTGTTTTTACGGGAGCAAAAGTATTGATCGTTCGACTACCTCAGATCCCGAGTGTTACCAATACAAAGTACTACACTGTATAGTGGTCTTTAAGACACAAATACCTTGGGTTATTGCGAGTAATGGTGAGTAATGGTGTCCGCCACAACATAAATCATGGTCTTGGATGACCGAGGATCTTTTTAATAACTCTGAAAACGCGTGAAACTTGTATCGCTTCTTGGCGTTTGAAGATGGTACCGAGTTGCCGGTAGTGCAGCCATCGAATTGGGCTGATTCTAAGGGGTTCAAACCGGGAAATCATTTGGCTCATCCAGAACAGGTCACTTCTGATTAGGACACTGTTTGCGTATCAGCTTACGATATTGTTTTCATCAGATTTTTTTAATGATTTTGGACATTCTGAGTAGCAGCCACAAAACTCACATTTAATTCTCCACCAAATCTCTGCGGAAATGAATAGAAATTTGAAACCCTACAAATTGTGTTGATTTTACGATTATGATGCATACATGCTTCTATTTTCTCTAGGTATAATTTTTACACAGAATAGCATTGATGTTGTTGAGACAAGTGGCAATAAGGGAGCGTCCAGTAGTATGAAGTTTTGGTACCAAAACTTTTGATTTTCGGATTCTAAGCCAGTATCGTGGAATCCTAAATGGACTTCATTGGTGAACCAGAGTAACGTTCTCTACCATTTACTCGAAAATAGTAATCTTAACATCATAGTGACTTGGGAAAATAGTGACTCAAAGCAAAAGCTGTTTATTCTTTTTACTGCTCCAACGAAATGTGATTATGCACTTGTTTGCTCACCTGAATTGAAAATATGTTTTTCTTGCTCCTTTTGTTATATTTTTTGATCTAGATATTAAGCACGCAATGTTGAGAGGGTTGTGAGCTCATCGGGTTAGACGTAGGAAATATTGAAGTCGATGAAGTTTAAAATATCAACACTAATTTTCATAGTTAGTGGCAAACATCAAGTGCATAATTTCTTAAAATGCAGGATTGCAACCCGTTTGTTTAATCGTTGGAAATCATGTATTGGTTCGTGAGTACG